TAAAAAATCTAAACCATAACTTTTGTTCTGCATCATCTGTTCTATCATTCTTATGGATTAGTTTTTCTCCATATCATTTAATAGAAAAGCCTTAGTATTAGGGTTTTGAAAGTTGGTTAATTTATTTTGAGCTTTAGATGATCTGCACCATAGTTATTAATAGTTTGTTCGAAGTCGGTTTTAACATAAGCATTGCGTCTCTGTACTAGTACGGCATTTTAAAGTTTTATAACCGAAATAACGTCTACGAAGAAATTGTTACAAATTGGCCAAGAATTTGAATTAATTTTATAATCGTATAGCAGTAACAAGCGTTGGTTATCACAAATATCAAACCCATTTTTTTTATAAAATACACACTTAAAACCTTTTTTTTTCGTTTTCTCAAATACAATACAAAAAACACAATGGAAAATTTTACCGAAACCGCTAGAATTTCAGAAAGTAATAATGACATGTCTGAAAGTGAATATAGTAATGAGGATTTAGATTATGAACAACCTAGTGAAAAGTTTTTATTTTTCCCCAACCTCGAAGACGAATATGAAGAATATATTGACGAGGAAGAATGTATTGACGAGGAACGTGAAGAAGATAATAATGAAGACACCTATAACGACGATAATACAGAAGAACAATCTATCGAGGAACCGATGGCAGAGGAGAAACTAAAGAATTAACAACATACGCCCTTATTACGAAAAAAGAAGGGCTTATAAAGCGTTGCGGAAACTATCATTATCGCACTCAAAAAAGACTTTGGACTCTTGCGGGCACGTGGGAAATTGATCTAAATGCTATGCAAGAAGTAAACAACGAAATATTTCGGCTAGGAGTGTGCAATACTCATTTTATGTCTGACTTGAAGTATATGCACCCAGAAAATTTTAGACAGCAAAAAAGCCACATTAAATCTTATATCTATAATCGTCGCTGCGCTTTCTGTAAGCGAATTTTTCACGTTTATAGTCGCGGAGATAGTAATAGATGTGAAATACATGCTCGATCCTTTTAGGAAAGGAAACGGTAATTCCGTGCAACGGTCAATATAGGTGTCCAGCAACCGAACCATCGCCGCCGCAGGCTGCTTGAAAAAATCGCACATGGACAGTTCTTTTGACGGACTCGCAGTACTACTGTGGTTGTCATGGTGGGAGTTGATATTGGAAGTTCATTATTATCGGGTACATGCGATTCTGAGCTTTTGTTGCGGAGGAGTGTCGAACTTACGAGTGTAATATATGATGTTTCGTTTTCGTGCACTAGTCTCCCCAGTAATTGAACGAAGTCTCCCACATTAAAGTCTTGCCGATATTCATTAGATGTACTGGTGAAATACTTATACGTAACATTCTGAAAGCAATCACGCCCACATTGATAGGCCGCTACCCCTTGAATCATTTTATTAACGACATCTTTTGTGTTAATTATACCGATATTGTCGCTAAGTTTGCGCATTTTAGTTTTTTTTTTCACATATGATTATTGGGCATGAATGCGATATATTAAAGATGAGCAACATAAGCAACAACTGATGTTGCATAGAATCAACGCTATGCATCAAAGTATCGTGTGATATTGCATATTGCGCAGTCAATTATTCGACAATTAGTCAGTATCGTCGTTAATTTAGGAACCAAACATAGAATCAACTTGTGCGCAAAGTATCGTGATATTGCATGTTGCACAGCATAAGGGGTACGTTTATGTGATAGCTGTGCAAACATGTGATGTTTCATAGTACAAAAGATGAATAAAGTCAATTAGTCGATCATTACTCGGAAGGGACTGTTTAAAGTGATCGCCAGTGAGTTCAGAAGTGAATAATTTCAATGATCTTGAACAGTAGGAAGTAAAAATCAAACAACAAAAGAAAAAGTGAAGGCAGAAAGGCGGGGTGGATTTCTGAAGCATTACCATCAATTATTTTAAATCAGATAAATTGCTTTCACGTGAAGTGAAGTGAAGTGAAAATTCAAATAATAGAGAACGTCACTAATTTCTCTTAATTAAAATTAAATTTTACGTAATACAACAAAACCAATTCGCAGCAGTGTAAACTTTTTGAAGGAAAGGAACATTCGGCATGTAATCATTGAAGACGGTACGCTTGTAACTTAATTTACAGCACAAACAAATAAGATAATCTGAGCTTCTATTGCGGAGAAATGTTGAACTTACGAGTGTAATGTATAATGTTTCGTTTTCGTGTACTAGTCTCCCAGTAAATTGAACGAAGTCTTCCGCATTAAATCCTGCCGATAATCATTAGATGCAATGGTGAAATACTTGTAAGATATTCGGTTTTCAACCTATTTATTATACACAGAATATGCCTGGTTGATTTGTATTGGTATAGTAATAGTCATGATTCTTGCGTTATTGACATCGGAGTTTGTGTGTGAGTTTGTCGAGTTGTTTATTTTTGGTATAGATGGCGTTTTGGCTCGTGTCCGCTTAGCTGTAGTAATGTATTCAGTTTTGATATTCTGGGATGGGATGGTTCGCTAGACGTACACTATAA